ATAATTGGAATAAAATTGGACTTCACTGTTAAATCTTCCAATTAGAGAGTTGGGAAGAAAACCTCTAATTGAGTAAAAATACATGAATTATTGATGTTGATTGATCCAATCCAATGGGGGAACTCTGACGCTTCACTAATTCGCATATTGATAATTAATTTTTATTTCAAGTGACAAATCATTCCCACATTTAATTACGAAAACCCTAGTTTGTTTGATCTTTTGAGAATTTTTCTATCTCCCTGTGGATACGACACCCCAAAGTTGGACTACAATCACCGCGTTATTCTTTGGACGTAATCAAATTTTGGCGCCGTTGCCGGGGAGACGGTACAAGTAATCAAGGGATCGACCAAAAAAGGGTGACATCGTTCCCTTTCCTTCATTTTTATTTGATTTAATTTTTTTTAGAGTTATTTTTATTTTATTTTCACATTTTCTTTGTTTTTTGTGTGTTTGATGAGCAGGGATCGAGGCAATCAGGGGAGTTCTACTGGAGCACCTTATCCAGTGTTTGAATCTCAATATAACCCTTATTTTGCTACTGCATCAATTGCCACGAACACCTCAACACATAACACTTTGTCTGATAGTGAACACGATGATGCGCCTTATAGGACTTTGCATGATTATTTGCACCCCACACGTACATCCACACCATCATGCATAATGTTTCCGCCCAATATGCCACGGATGGAACTAAAACCGGGAATGATTCAACTTATTCCCACTTTTCATGGACTTGACAGTGAAAACCCATACGTGCATATTAGGGAATTTGAGGAGGTAGTTGCAACCTTCCACAATCAACATGGTACAACGGATGCAGCCAGGTTAAAATTTTTCCCGTTTTCACTTAAAGAGAGAGCAAAAACTTAGCTATATTCGTTGAGACCCCGTTCAATTGGTACATGGGCTGAAATGACGTAAGCATTTTTTAATAAATACTTTCCCCACCATAAGACTAGCGCCCTTAAGAAGCAAATCTCATCTTTTACCCAAAAGATAGTGAGACTCTATATCAAGCCTGGGAGAGATTTAAAGAACTACAAGCCCTTTGTCCTCACCATAGTTATGAGAGCTGGCATATAGTTAGTTACTTTTATGAGGGATTAACATCTAGGGAACATCAATTCGTAGAGATGATGTGTAACGGTGATTTCCTGCAAAAGGATCCGGATGAGGCCATAGAGTATCTAGACGATCTTGCTGAGAAAGCTCATACTTGGACAGGACCTAGCCCTACTGATAGTACCAATAGGTCACGACCCCCAGGAAACCCCACTAGTATAGGTATCTATCAACTTAGGGAAGAAGATAGTCTTAAGGCCAAAGTGGAAGCCCTTACTAAGGAATTTGAGACCTTGCGTGCTAAAGGCTCTAAACCTGCACAAGCTGTTTCGCGTGTTGAATCTTTGGGACCTTATTTTGTGTGCGGTGGAGTAGATCACCTAGCCTAAGAGTGCACCACTTTAATTGAGATGAGAGGGGTTTATGAGGAACATTGTAATGCCTTAGGCACATATAGGAAGCCCTATTCTCCTTTCTCCGAATCCTATAACCCAAGGTGGCACAATCATCCCAATCTCAGTTGGAAATCTGAAAACAAACAAACTACCCAATCAAATAGAACTTACAGTGCACCATCATATCAACCCACACCCTCTAGGAACTCTTTAGAAGATACCTTACATGCATTCATAGAGGCACAAGGCAAGACCAATCAGAAGTTTGAGACTATGATTAACCAAGTAGTGGAGGAAAATAAGGAGATAAAAATCATGTGTCTAAATTGACCAATGTCTTAACTGTGGGGGAACGTGGGAAATTTCCAGCACAAGCTCAACCTAATCCTAAGGGACAGCATATGGCTCAAACCTCAGATTCAGGAGAGAGTAACCTTAAAGAAGGAAATGCCATCACCACCCGATCTGGGAAGGTTATAGAACCAATTTCAAAACCTAGGGAAAATGAAAAGGAGTCTAGTGAGTCTGAAGAAAGTAGCCCTAGTGATGAGGCAGTAGGAAATCCATCGAGGGTACCTTTTCCACAAGCCCTTAAGCTTAGCCCAAAATCAGTCAATCAACACAATGAGATCCTAGAACACCTCAGGTAAGTAAAAAGCAATCTTCCACTCTTGCATGTAACTTCACAAGTTCCTACATATGCGAAAGTCCTTAAGGACTTGTGCACTTTGAAGAGGAAACACATTGTCAAGAAGACAGCCTTCTTGACCGAACAAGTGAGTGCTGTGATTGAACAAAGGATCCCACCGAAATATAAGGACCCTGGCTGTCCAACTATTTCCTGTGTCATCGGGAACCATGAGTTTGCACAAGCTCTCCTTGATATGGGAGCTAGTGTTAATCTCATGCCCTATTCCATATACTTACTATTAGTTCTTGGTGAAATTAAACCCACTTCTATGGTTCTACAACTAGCTAATAGATCCACTATAAGACCTAGGGGAGTAGTTAAAGATGTGTTGGTTCAAATTGATAAATTCTACTACCCCGTTGATTTCTTAGTCTTGGATGTGAAGGTTGATGTTAATGTTGATTCTAAAATTCCTATTATTCTTGGTAGACCTTTCCTCGCCACAGCTAATGCCCTTATAAATTGTAGGAATGGTCTAATGAAATTATCTTTTGGGAATATGACTCTAGAAGTCAACATTTTTCACATTGCTAAGCAACCAATGGAAAGTGATGAGTGCCACGACACACATATGATTGAGGCACTCACTCAGGAGGAGGCACTTGAGACTACAAATTCTGACCCCTTAAATCTTTTTCTTTAGAATTCTGCAATTCCAGCAAGTGTTAATGATGAAGAATATGCTAACATTTGTGCTATTTTTGCAAAATTTCAGGACTATGGGACATCACCATGGCAACTCAAATTTGAAGAATTGCCAGAAAGGACGGGCGGCCAGCAACCATCAAACATTGAGAGCCCCAAACCAACTTTGAAACCACTACCCCCAGGATTGAAACATGAATTCCTTGGACCAGGTGATACTTTTCCTGTAATTATTTCTTCAGAATTGGATGCATTACAATGTGAGTAACTTTTAAACATTCTGAATGAACACAAATCTGCATTAGGTTGGACCATAGCTGATATTAAGGGTATTAGTCCTCTAATTTGCTCACATAGGATTCATTTAGAAGAAGGAGCCACCCCTAAAAGAGATCCACAGCATAGGCTAAACCCAACAATGAAAGAAGTTGTGAAAAATGAAGTGCTGAAACTGTTAGATGCAGGTATCATTTATCCTACTGCAGATAGTAAATGAGTTAGTCCTACACAGGTAGTCCCTAAAAAGTATGGTGTCACAATGGTAAAAAATGAAGTAGGTGAAATGGTCCCAACAAAAACAGTGACTGGATGGCGCATGTGCATTGATTATAGGAAGTTGAATGCTGCCACCCATAAGGACCACTTTCCCCTCCCCTTTTTAGACCAAATCCTGGAGCGTGTGGTTGGCCATCCTTTTTACCATTTTCTAGATGGCTACTCTGGTTATTATCAAATTGAAATAGCCTTAGAAGACCAAGAGAAGACCACATTTACTTGCCCATTTGGTACTTATGCATTTCGTAGGATGCCATTTGGACTTTGTAACGCCCTTGCCACATTCCAAAGATGCATGATAAGCATATTTACTGACATGATAGAGGAGTGCATGGAAGTTTTCATGGATGACTTGACAGTGTTTGGAGTCTCGTTTGATGCATGCCTATTTAACTTGAAGAGAGTCTTGACCCGGTGTGTGGAAAAAGGATTAGTTTTGAATTGGGAGAAATGTCATTTTATGGTACCTTCAGGAATTGTCTTAGGACATGTAATTTCTTCTAAAGGAATAGAGGTCGACAAATCAAAAATTGAACTGATCTCCAAATTGCCTACACCTAAAATCGTCAAAGGCATAAGATCATTTCTAGGTCATGCAGGTTTTTATAGGAGGTTTATACAGAACTTTTCATCCATATCCAGACCCTTGTGTAACCTTCTAAGTAAAGAAGCCAATTTTGAATGGACCCCAGAATGCCAAGAGGCATTTAAAACACTGATTAACAAGCTCACTTCTGCACCGATCATGCAACCACCTAATTGGTCCCTACCGTTTGAAATTATGTGTGATGCTAGTGATTATGCGGTAGGTGATGTACTGGGACAACGAAGAGAGGGTAAGCCTTTTGTCATTTACTACGCTAGTAGAACTCTTAACAGGGCTCAGATGAACTATTCGATAACTGAAAAAGAGCTACTAGCTATGATCTTTGCACTCGACAAGTTTAGATCCTATTTAATAGGTTCTCCCATTACAATTTTCACAGATCATGCAGCCCTTAAGTACCTCCTTGCAAAGAAGGATACTAAGGCGCGATTAATACGGTGGATATTGCTTTTGCAGGAATTTGACATCACCATCAAGGACAAGAAAGGAGTGGAGAATGTCGTAGCAGACCACTTATCAAGGCTAACCTTTGAAGACACTACAAACACCTTGCCAATAAGAGATGAATTCCCAGATGAAAATTTATTTTCTGT